TTCAAGTTAAGCCAATCAAAGACGAAGAAAAAGGAATAAAAAAAATGAACAAAGGTCCCAAAAAGTCTGAGATTATGTTAAACGACTAAACTTAAGAATAATTGGTGTTCCTGGGGAAGAAGACAATTCTAAAAGCGTGGGAAACATATTTGGGAGAATAATCGAGGAAAACTTCCCTGGCTTTGCTAGAGACCTAGACATTCAAATAAAAGAAACACAAAGAACACCTGGAAAATTCATTGCAAAAAGATCTTCACCTAGACACATCGTCATCAGGTTATCCAAAGTTAAGATGAAGGAAAGATTCTTAAGAGCTATGATAGAGAAGCACCAGGTTACCTATGAAGGAAAGCTTATCAGATTAACAGCAGATTTCTCAGCAGAAACCCTACAAGCTAGAAGGGCTTGGGGCTCTATCTTCAGCCTCTTCAAACAAAACAATTGTCAGTTAAGAATTTTGTATCAGCAAAACTAAGCATCATATGAAGGAAAGATAGTCTTTTTCAGACAAACAAATGCTGAGAGAATACACATTACCAAGCTACCACTACAAGAACTGCTAAAAGGAGCTCTAAATCTTGACAAGAATCCTGGAAACACATCAAAACACAGGATCTATGAAACAAAAATACATGCTAAAAAGTAAAAACAAAAAATAAAACAAAGTACACAGGCAACAAAGAGTACTATGAATGCAATGGTACCTCACATTCCAACATTAACATCGAATATAAATGATCTAAATGCTCCCTTACAAGATACAAAACCGCAGAATGGATAAGAACTCACCAACCAACTAACTGCTGCCTCAGGAGACTACATAACATATAAGGACTCACATAAACTTAAAGGGGTGGAAAAAGGCATTTCATGAGAATGGACAATAAAAAATGAGCAGGGGTAGCTATCTTTGTATGAGACAAAACAAATTTTAAAGCAACAGCAGTTAAAAGAGACAAAGAGGGACATTATATAATGGTAAAAGGCCTTGTCCACCGGGAAAACATCACAATCCTAAACATATATGCACCTAACACTGGAGCTCCCAAATTTATAAAACAATTACTAATAGACTAAGAAATCAGACAGTAACATAGTAATAGTGGGGGATAAAACGAGGAATAAAAAAAATGAACAAAGGCTTCAAAAAGTCTGAGATTATGTTAAACGACCAAACTCAAGAATAATTAGTGTTCCTGAGGAAGAAGACAATTCTTAACATATAAGGACTATATGTTAAGTCCTTATTTATATATATTTAACATATAGTTTGTTATATTTATATATACTTAACATATAGTTTACAATAAAAGACAATTCATATGTTATAAACTATATGTTAAACCTGCTGTTAATCTGATAAGCTTTCCTTCATAGGTTACCTGGTGCTTCTGTCTCATAGCTCTTAAGAATCTTTCCTTCGTCTTAACTTTGGATAACCTGATGACAATGTGTCTAGGTGAAGATCTTTTTGCAATGAATTTTCCAGGTGTTCTTTGTGTTTCTTGTATTTGAGTGTCTAGGTCTCTAGCAAGGCCAGGGAAGTTTTCTTCAATACTCCACTGACAGCACTAGACAGATCATCAAGACAGAAAGTCAACAAAGAAACAATGCATTTAAACTATACCTTGAGACAAATGGACTTATAGACTTATATATATACAGAACATTACATCCAACACCTGTAGAATACACGTTCTATTCAACAGTGCATGGAATTTTCTTCAAAATAGACCATATGATAGGCCATAAAATGAGCCTTAATAAATTTAAGAAAATTGAAATTATATTAAGCACTCTCTCATACCACAGTGGAATAAAGCTGGAAATCAACTCCAAAAGAAACCTTCAGAACCATGCAAATACACAGAAATTAGATAACCTGCTCCTGAATGAGCACTGGGCCAAAAACGAAATCAAATGGAAATTTAAAAATTCTTCAAACTGAACGACAATAATGACAACCTATCAAAACCTCAGGGATACGGCAAAAGCAGTGCTAAGAGGAAAGTTCATAGCCCCAAGCATCTACATCAAAAAGACTGAAAGAGCACAAATTGACAATCTAAGGTCATACCTCAAGGAACTAGAGAAACGAGAACAAACCAAATCCAAACCCAGTAGAAGAAAGGAAATTACCAAGATCAGAGCTGAACTAAATGAAACTGAAACAATAAAACAATAGAAAAGATAAACAAAACAGAACACTGGTTCTTTGAAAAGAAAAATGCAATTGATAGACCTTTAGCAAGATTAACCAAGAAAAGAACAGAGAAAATTCAAATAACCTCACTAAGAAAAGAAAACAGGAGATATTACAACTGACACTACCGAAAATACAAAAGACCATACAAGGCTACTACGAACACCTTGATGCACATAACTAGAAAACCTAGAAGAGTTGGATAAATTCCAGGAAAGATATGATCCTCCTAGTTTAAATCAGGAATAATTAGATACCCTAAACAGACCAATAACAAGCAGCGAGATTTAAATGGTAATTCAAAAATCACCACTACTGCCAACAACAAAAATCCAGGACCAGACAGATTCACAGCAGAATTCTACCAGAGATTATAAGAGGAATTGCTACCAATTCTTTTGAACTATTCTACAAGTCAGGTAAAGAAGGAACCCTTATGAAGCCAGCATAACCCTAATACCAAAACCAGGAAAGGACATAACCAAAAAAGAAAACTACAGACCAATATTCTTGATAACTATTGGTATCAAAATCTTTAACAAAATACTAGCTAACCGAATCCAACAATATAAAAAAAGATAATCCACCATGATCAAGTGCATTTAATAGCAGGGATGCAGGAATGGTTTAACATACATAAGTCAATAAACATAATACACCACATAAACAGAATTAAAAACAAAAATCACATGATCATCTTAATAGATGCAGAAAAAGCATTCGACAAAATCAGCATCCCTTTATGATTAAAACTCTCAGCAAATCGGCATACAAGGGACATACCCTATGTAATAAAAGCCATCTATGACAAACCTACAGCTAACAGAATACTGAATGGGTAAAAGTTGAAAGCATTCCCTCTGAGAACTGGAACAAGACAAGGATGCCCACTCTCGCCGCCACTCTTCAACATGGTACTGGGAGTCCTAGCCATAGCAATCAGACAAGAGAAAGAAATAAAGTGTATCCAAATCTGTAAAGAGGAAGTCAAACTGTCACTGTTTGCTGATGATATAATCATTTACTTTGAAAACCCTAAGGACTCCTCGGGAAAGCTCCTAGAACTGATAAAAGAATTCAGCAAAGTTTCTGGATACAAAATTAATGTATACAAATTAGTAGCTCTTCTATACACCAACAGCAACCAAGCAAAGAATCAAATCAAGAACTCAACTCCTTTTACAATAGCTGCAAATAAATAAATAAATAAATAAATAAATAAAATAAAATACAATACTTAGGAATACATCTAACCAAAGAGTTAAAAGACCTCTAAAGGAAAACTACAAAACACTGCTGAAAGAAATCACAGATGGCACAAACAAATGGAACACATTTCATGCTTATGGATGGTAGAATCAATAGTGTGAAAATGACCATAGTGCCAAAAGCAATAAAAAATTCAATGCAATCCCCATCAAAATACCACCATCATTCTTCACAGAATTAGAAAAAACAATTTTAAAATTCATAGGGAACCAAAAAAGAGCTTGCATAGCCAAAGCAAGACTAAGCAAAAAGAACAAACCTGGAGACATCATACTACCTGATTTCAAACTATACTCTAAGGTCATAGACACCAAAACAGCCTGGTACTGGTATAAAAGTAGGCACACAGACCAATGGCACAGAATAGAGAACCCAGAAATAAACCCAAACACAGCCAATTGATCTTTGACAAAGCAAACAAAAACATGAAGTGGGGAAAGGACACCCTTTTCAACAAATGGTGCTGGGATAATTGGCTAGCCACATGTGGGAGAATGAAACTGGATCCTCATCTTTCACCTTATACAAAAATCTACTCAAGATGGATTAAGGACTTAAACCTAAGACTTGAAACTATAGAAGTCCTAAAAGATAATATCAAAAAAACACAAAACCCTCTAGGCAAGAATTTCACGTCTAAGAAGCCAAAAGCAAATGCAATAAAAATAAATAGCTGGGAGCTAATTAAACTAAGAGCTTTTTTGCACAGCAAAAGGAGCAGTCAGCAGAGTTAACAGATGACCCATAGAGTGGGAGAAAATCTGCACAATCTATACATCTCACCAAGGACTAATATCCAGAATCTACAACAAACTCAAATCTGTAAGAAAAAAACAAACAATCCAATCAAAAAATGGGCTAAGGACACGAATAGACAATTCTCAAAAGAAGATATACAAATGGCCAACAAACATACGAAAAAATGCTCAACTTCACTAATGATCAGGGAGATGCAAATCAAATCCATACTGCAATACCACCTTACTCCTGCAAGAATGGCCATAATCAAGAAATCAAAATATAGTAGATGTTGGCATGGATGTGATGAACAGGGAAAACTTCTACACTGCTGGTTGGAATGTAAACTAGTACAACTACTATGGAAAACAGTGTGAAGAGTCCTTAAAGAACTAAAAGTATAACTACCACCTGATCCAGCAATCCCACCACTGGGTATCTACCCAGAGGAAAATAAGTCATTATATGAAAAAAGATACTTGCACATGTATGTTTATAGTGGCACAATTCACAACAGAAAAATTTTGGAACCAATCCAAATGCCCATCAATCAACGAGTGCATAAAGAAACTGTGGTATACGTATATGATGGAATACTACACAGCCATAAAAACAAATGAATTAACAGCATTTGCAGTGACCTGGATGAGACTGGAGACTATTATTCCAAGTGAAGTAACTCAGGAATGGAAAACCAAACATCGTATGTTCTCAATGATATGTGGGAGCTGAGTTATGAGGACGCAAAGGCATAAGAATGACACAATGGACCTTGGGGACGTGGGGGGAAGAGTGGGAGGGGGACGAGGGATTAAAGACTACAAATTGGTGCAGTGTATACTGCTCGGGTGATGGGTGCACCAAAATCTCACAAATCACCACTAAAGTACTCATGTAACCAAATAACACCTGTACCCCAACTTATGGAAAAATGAATAATAAATAAAAAAATAAAACACATGGATATATTTGTAACTGAAAAAATTAGTCAAAGTGAAATATGTATGTGCAGTATTAAAACACATTTTACTCATAAAATCAATCTGGTGATTCTGGGATCCACATAAAATCAATGCGTAAAAGTCAAGAGACACATGGTATGTAGTATTCCCACATCACAGAACCTTGTGGAAAGTTTTGGGAGAGACCATATGGTTCCTCACCCATTTACAAGCAGAAATGTGGTTTAACTGCCTCCCACACAAATTATTATTAACTTTGTCATTTTTTTCCCAACAACATAACAATCCTTTATATGTTAGAATCTGAATCTGTCCCATTAAACTTGGTTTCATGTTTTCTTTGTTCTAATTAGGGTTGAAGAATATCTTTCCTATTAGAATATACATATGTAGGTGGGAAATTTTATATCCTTTCAATTAATAATAGCTCAATTAAATAATTAATCTTTTTCCCCAGAGCTCAGTCTTAGTGGTTATTTCCACTCCACAGTCATTCCCCTACCACCATATTCACCATAAAAATGAGAGTCAAATTGAAAGTAATACGTTACAGAATATGTGGACTACCTTGTAACACAGCTGCATTTTGTCAATAAGCTCATTTATTTGAATCTTCTCTTCCCATGTTTCTCAGTTTAATCTTTTGACATATAACCATTGCTAAAGAGCCCAAATGGATCACACTGGTTTTGATTTTATAATAATGTTCTGAAATAATTTATGTTCTAAGTACCTGGGAAAGGTATAATGCATATATGAAGTTCTCTATCGATAATATTATCCTTGAAAGATATTCTCCTTTTAATGCATATATACTAAATACACATGGGATATTTATAAAATATTCTACATATTAGAAATGCAAAATGCAAATACAATAGTTAGCATATAGATCAGAGAGCTGAGTCAAAACTAGAAGTAATCTACCAGTGATCACCGAAAAAAATGTGTTCTCATTGGTACTTATTTATTCCATGTAGATAGTACAGACCGGCATCAAATATTACCTACTGTGCTTCTCAGAACATGGAGTTGTCCATGAGTCTTTAACATAAAATTCTATCCTTTCTTCCCCCACAGGATTAGCAGATAATCAAAAGAGCATAACCGAAATAATTTACTACCTAAAGTTAGCTCCCCTCTATTTCTAGTTTTGTTTTTCCCTCTGTATCTTCACGGTGTCCTTTTTCTTCTTCAGTCACTGGGGAGGAAGCAATCCTTAAATATCTCTGATATTTCCTTTGCGCTCCCTTCACCTTGGACACATTTTCAGTCTCATGTTCACATGCATACACACATTTTTAGTACCCTATTTAACAAAGAGACACATACATCTCAACATCTATCTTTAATTGGTAATATTCAAATTTAATATTTGTTTCCAAACATCATTACAGAATAAGTCTTACACCACCCACTTCCAATTCTCCATTTCCTCAACTGCTCACATCACTTATGTGAAACTGCACTCCCAAAGGGCACAAATATGCTTACTCTTGGAAGTCAAAGGACTTTCTCTGTCCTTGTTTTTCTTTACCTTTTTGCAGCAGTGTTCCCTGCTCATCAACTTTGCTTTCTATGCCCCGTCACTGTCTTGGCTGCCTTCCTTATTCTAAATTTGAAATGTCGAAATTCCCAAATGTCTGACACTGACTCTCTTCTCTTTTGTATATTCCCTCCTTTGGTGATGCTACCCACTTATTTGGTACCATTTCCTTTTTTGCAAATGACTCCCAAGTCTCTATCCCTCACTATGGCCTTCTGACTCCTTCCTTGATAGGAATGTCTCATGAGAAAATGAGAGTAAGCAGATTCTCTCGCTCAGAATGTGCTCAGTCTAACCATTTTGTTCTTATAATAAATAAAGTCCTCTGATTACAATTTTTATATTTGTGGCATTTCTTTTCTTCCAGGTTACCTAAAATCAAAATTTTGGAACATATATGGTGGCCAGCTAATTATCTTCTTCACGTCTTTTGAAATAATCTATTACTTAATTTATCTGTATGTTCTTTTCCATTTCTCTCCATCTCTGTACTTTAGTTTCACTACCTTATGCCTATACTATTACCATGATCTTTTATTAAGTTTTCCCAAGGCTGTATCTCCCAACTCTACTTCCTCAAACACAATCGACATGTTTCATTTCATCATATAAATGGCCATCCTAAATTACTCTTTTCATTATGTCACTTTGCTTAATAACATTTTAAAATACAAACGCCACATTTTTAGTATGGTATCCACTACCATTCATCTAGTTTTATGGTAGTTTTCATTTCTATCTTCCCCTATACCCTTCCTCTCGGTACATGTTGCCCTAGTTCATGTGCATAGTTCTCCCTGCCAGAATTCTCTCCTTGTTCTTGCTAAAATCCTTACTTACAGGCATCCTATCATTCCAAGTTTCTCTTAGCTTGTCAACTGTGACTCAGTGTCTCTTCAGCTCCATCCAGCTGAACGTCGTTTCTCTCTCCTGTGCGCTTTGCTTACACCTAGCTCACATGTCTCACAAAGCACTTATTAGATGCTATTATTTATTGCCCTGATGTTTGAGGATTGGGATTCCCATGTTCTCTCCTTCACTCCCTCCCCACATTAGATTGTACATTTCTTAAGGACAAGGTTAATGTTTCATAACTTTCAAACCCTACTGCATTTGGCACAGTCTTACATAAAGCTGGAACTTGATAAAAAGTAAGTTGAATAAATTCATATTAAAAACAATTACATCCCCAAAAATATAAGATGTACAGACCTATCATTGGTAATTACTCTCTTCTAACTCTAGAGTTTACAAAAAGTCAAGTAAAAGCCGGTGACTTTGTACTATGCAAATTTCCCATTCTTCACATTAACCATTTTTTAAAAATCCATAAGTTAATGCAGAATTTGGCTTAATTCCTCCAGGAAGAACAAAGCAGTTCCATTTAATATCCCTCTAGTCCTTGAGAGTCAGCATTTTTTGATGCCCATTAGTGAGAGAGAAGACAGAGAAGACTGTTGTCTATTTAATGTAACCTCCAAAGAAAGGTCAATTTATTTAAAACAAAACAAAACAAAAAATTAAAACTAAAAAAACTAAAAATAGCAATTTCAGTAAGGAGTTTTCCTATTATAGAAACATGTTTTAATGTATTATAAGGTTTAATTTTAGGACAATCAGCTCCAAAAATCAAGTAAAAAAAACAAAAATGGTAATGGCGTCATTTTGTAATAAATAGACTTCTCTAACTGTGTAATTTGGTAAACGACAAGGTATTAAACATCTCTGATAAAGAGACAACGTCAGAATCTAAAACTTATTTTGTGCCTGCTAATTTAGACATCTTTCATTATTTTAGTATTTGACCACTGGAATTCTTTGTACGTAAAATGATGCAAAAATACAATTAACAATTTCAAAGTACATTATGTGGAAAATATGGCTTTCATATCATAGAAAACATAAAGAAATTCATCATGGGACATATTGAAGAAATGGAATCGGTATTTTATTAAGAAAGAATATCCCACAGACAGCAAGCTTTTTAATATGACTGTAACAGAGGTTGCAGCTTCCTACTTTATTTTGTATAGTAGTGATCTGATATGAACATTGGTGAAACATTCACAGAGTCTCTCACATACAGCTACTGATTTTTACCCTCCTAGTTGTACTTAAAGAACAGAAGAAAATTCTTTAGAAGAAAATTTTTAGAAGAAAGTAAGAGTAAGATTAGATTACTGTGTAGGGGAGAAAACTAGAAAAGACAATGGAACTATTTAAATAGACTGGAGTCGAAGTCTGTTAGCTATGCTATCATATAGGCAGGTACCAAATTTATTAAGTTAAAAGCAGAGAAATAACAAAGAATGTTTTTTATGAACAAAGGTAATAAACAGATATGAACAAGATAAATGTTAAATGAATGTTTTAATTCAGATCAGATGGGTCATTGCTAATAAATCATTACACGGGTTATTGTTTAAAAAGGTCTCTTCATTTCAGAACAGAAATTTATATTACTATCTTGTCTGATCTTGGAAGCTAAGCAGGGTTGGTCCTGGTTAGTACTTGGATAGGAGAAATTTATATTACTGCCATGGCTTGTATTTTATCACTGCTTCCTCTGTGCTGTGGTGTTTTACTCACCTAGACCACATACTGTAAGTCAAAACACAATTCTGAAAACAGATTAGGAAAAAATCATATCTGTTGATCCATCAATTGTAACATCATTTATTCACTGTTAAATGTGAATACTTTATTCTATCCCATCATTTTAAAAGTATTGTTGCCAGATAGGGAAAGTATCATTTGAATAAACATATTTTGAAAAGCAGTCTGCAGCGGGTTTATGAAGAAACATTTTGAGGGTTCAGAAAAAAATGGTTTCCAGTTGGAGATTAAATATTGATTTTATGATTTGCTTAGTCTTTTAAAATTAACCATTTCACAAATCAGACTCAAATCTTGTAATATCCGAGTGTCTTTCATTTTTTAGTCCAGGTCAGATAGCTCAGGTAGCTCTTCTCTCACTAATTCATTATAACATGCTGAAGATGGTCATTTGACCAACCACTTGACCAAAAATCAACATGACACTCAAGTGACCAGTACTCAAAAAACAATTGCATTTACCTATCATGCATTATGTACATTCATAGCATCTTATTAACGTGAAGGCAATAAAACAACAACAACAACAAAAAAAACTCGGATCTCTGCCTTTAATGAAGTTGTAATAATAAGACTTCAAATTCAACCCTTTTCCTAGAAATACTGTAGAAAGCTGTCCGACTAGGGCATTTACCAAACCATGCATAGTGCACGCCACCCCCTTCCCTGCCACAACTCTTAACTCACTTGTGCTGCTCCAGCTTTCTCCAAAGCACTTCTCACTGTTTGATATACTAGCTCCTTCTCCTCAGACTAGATTGTGAGCTCCTAACCATTTGGTTCACTGCTGTATAGCCACTGCCTAAAGTAATACCTGGTACTCTGTAAATATTACTGAATAAATAAATAAAATGACTATCATTATTTAGGTTTTCCTAATTTCTGGCTTGCCTTTCCTCTCTAAGATATGGCTACATTTTTTTTCCATCAAGCTTTCTGTTATGCATTCAGTGGCCCGGGTTACAGTGTGATTCCATTTGGTTTTGACAGTGGGTGAGTTATTAACTTCGCAGCCCTTCCAGAGAATAGGGATCACAAAGATATCTGTGGGTTGTTGTGAGAAATGAATGAAGTACTTAGCACAGTGCTTGGCACATAATAATAAGTGCTCAATAAATTTTAGCTGTCATTGTTCTCACCATGATTATTAAGTTATTTTCTTCTGTTGCAAATTGCTTATCAATTCTTGAAACATCTCGCAATTAACGTGACAGGGTTCAGAACAGCCACCCAAAGCATGGTTCCTTATAATACAGAGTATTTTAAGCTGAAAAAAACCAAAACTGCAGAAGAAGGACGGTCACTCTGTGACCTTCTCTCTCCCTTCTCCAAGGTAGTAGGTGATAAGACCCTCATTAACACCTTGTCTCTGAATACACAGGGAAAAAAAGAAGAAGAACAAACAGGACTTTCTAAGTTCTTCCCAATTTATTACCATGAGATCATAACCTTTGTCTTCTAATCACACTTCTGCATGATGTCTATAAAAAATATTTTCCTGAGTCATCATTTCTGAAGGCTCCTATATCAGGTAAAGTGTATATTAAATAAATCTGTATGCTTTTCTATTGTTAAATCTGTCTTTTGTTTGGGGTCTCAGCCATAAGCCTTAGGGTGCTTAAGATAAAGATACTTTTTTGCCCCTACAAGTAAAACTCAGAGGCGTTGAGATTCAGGGCTAATGTTGCAAGTGGATGAATCTCCTGAAAAGAAAAATAGCTACCTCCCACATAGGTCTCTTTCAGGGAGCATTAATCCTCCTCTTTTGTGCTCCCAGAAGACTGTATACACCTCTGTATAAGAATCACCACACTGTATTTCAATTAGATGATTGTGTTCAGTCTTGTCTGCTACACTGTGTGGTCCTTCAGGATATGAAATCTCTGTATCCTACCACAAAGCAGGCACTCTATAGATGAAGAATGCTTGCCCAATGGATGAGTGACTATAAATAAATGAGACTGATCCCATTATTTGCACTCACATCACATGTGCACTTTCATTACTGTTTCAAAATTGCATTTCCCAATAGATAGTCTTGATGTGAAGAACAGGGTAGAAGATTTTAGTATTGGCGAGAAATGCAGAAGGTATATGAAAATAAAAGCACAATGTGTTGGAGTTCAGAGATGTGTTGCAAATAAAATGTGCTTAGAAGACCAAGACAAAACCAGTTCTTATTTTCTCATAAATGGTTACTCTATTTCAATAGAAGAGATCTAATTTATATCCATCTTTCTTTATGGAAGCATCATTACCCAGAGAAAAATTGTAATAAAAACATTCTTGATAAAGTTGAAAAGCACAGAAATTAGAAATGAGGCCTGTGGAATAGAAAAGAGGCATACAGCTTGAGGTCTGACTATATATGAGAATCAAAAAATAATAGGTATTTAATGCCACAGCCAAAAAAACCTTCAAGGAATTGATTTTAAAAGTTATCCAAATACAAAGTACTTAGTAGTGCTAAAGCCTGTGTTCAACTGATAAAAATCTTATGTTGCTTTACACAGGCTAGAAGACAAAAAATCTAACTCTAGAAAAAGAAGCTTGAGGCTGGCAGATTTTACTGTTGAATTAAGCTATTTAGTAGGTATTCAAAATAAGAGATCGAGAGAGAAAGGAAGAAAGAAAGAAAGAAAAAAAAAACAAAACAAAACACGCGTCTATGTCTTACACCTATCACATGCTTTGAGTCTATCCCTCTGAAAGTGTTTCTCATTAGGAAAGTACTTACATTAGGCCTCAGCCTGGCTGCCAGATCATAATACTTCTCGGCTGCTTCATTGAGGCTAGCCTGTCTGTAAGAGAAATAATAAAATAAAACTATAGCATTTATTTTAGAATTACAATTAGGATCACTGTGCAGCAAAATAATGTTAATTTAAAAAAAATTCTGGTCACACCAAACAGTAATTTGTCCAAGCAGAAAAAGACTTAAAAATTGAGTGTTTGCATTGTACTTGTTATTGTATTTAAGGCATTATAAATAGTATCTTAACATAATCCTATTCAGTGGGTGTTGTTAGTTCACATTTACATATTAGGAATTAGAAAAGTTATCCTACTTTTCCATGCAAAACTAGGTAATATATTATAGTGGTGGGGTTCTCCAGCATCAACATGATACCCCAGAAAAATCTCAATTTTAAAAATAAATTGTCAAAATTAGTAATTATTGCTTTTGTTTTATGAAAACAGTAAAGATCTGCAGGACTTTCAAAATTCTACATCTGTCTAGAAAGACACTTTCTTTCCAGTATGGAGGGAACTTTCCACGGTGTGTAGTTAACAGAAAAAATAAAAAGGCCAGATTATGTCTCCCCTTGGACTTCAGACACCAGGGTCAGCACATGACTTAACCTCAGCTAAATGGATGTTCTCATTACTTAGGACTTTCATTCCTAAGTGACAGAAAGATGAAAGGATGGCCAGAACTCACTTGCAATGGTAGAAGCAATGGGACTATTTACTAGCCAGACTCTTCCTGGAAAGAACCGCTTTTGTATATCTCACTTCTGGGCCACTGAGGCTACCTTGTTTCCTGCCAATTTAAGCCTTCCAGCCTATAGTGAATTCTGTAGCTCCCATAGCCTTCAAATAGCTACAGTCAGTTTCTATTGCTCACAGCCAAATCCTGTAAGTAGCGCAACTGACTTGTACAAATAAAATGTGCACTGAAATTTACAGATAGATTTGTTCACTGTCTATTCCTGTGATTCACAGAGAAGACCTAGGTTCACCCAACTCATCACCAGAAGCAGGGTTCTAAGGAAGCACAGCCAGTTGTTCTTTCATATACAATATATTTTTTGATCATACCATGCTGCTTCAGAAGACCTTCTAAGATGGCAGGTAATGAGATCTAAGAAGCTTGTGGAGGTTGAACTGGAATCTGGTGACAGTATTTGAAGGGTACAGAAAAAATGCTACAGGAAAATGCCAAATTCAATTTCAGATGTTGTATATAGCATATCTATGATGTGACAATAATAGTAAATGGCTGGGGGTCCTGCAGTTAAAATGGAGTGGTGTTCTCTTGAAGCTGTGATGTAAAGAAGCTATTGAGACAAGAAGATGACAGGACAAGGATGAAGAGAACACAAAAATTAACTTTCTCAGTTAGAAAAACATATTCAAGTTTTAAAAGAGAAGGTTAACTAGCCTTATCTATAAAAGTGAATTTGCACTTGGTCAAGCCAAATACAAACTATAAAAACATACCCCATGCAACCATATAAATTATGGAAATAACTGAAGATAACATCTCTTTGGAGAGCAGGACATATTTTTCTAATTTTTAAATGAAAAATAATTAAAAACACTGCTATTTTTAATAGGGGTTATAAAGAAAGTAAAAACCCTTGACCTAAGGCTCTACTGGACCCATGACATGTTACAATGTGCTGTTGCAATTTATATTCCCATAAATGTTAAAGCTCAATTTCAATATGTCAAGAGAAGTACTTTAGTTTGGTATGAAACAGTAAAAATTCCCTCACTAGGGTATTTAATAAAGGTTCCCTCCACCAAATTATAGAATCAATTTGGTACAGACTCATTTGGAAATCTGAACCAGAATTCATTAGGTCATGCCCTGGAAAGGTTTTCCCCAGAGGAAAATAAAAGGCATGCAGGTAGGAAATTGGAGCAACTTAATACTACAAAGAACTCAGTTACTTTGAAGTGAGATCAACCGACAGATGCCCAACACGGAAAATACAGCTCCCATTAATATTCATCTTTATGGACATTTAATTATGAGGTAGATAAGGATCAAAAGAGAAACTGGGGAATCCATCAGATAAAATGCCTTGAAAATAATAATAAACTCAATTTTTAAAAGGTTTTACTGCCCCCCAAAATGGTTATTAGTTTTTAAAGTCTTCATATTATTCAGTGCTTTAGTTCTCAAAGGAAATATCTAGGTTAGAAAACTTAATTTCTTAAGCTAGAAGTAGAATTGATGAAATTTTGATGACATGGGAAAAAAACCCACTAGGATTTATTATATATGTCTTACAACTATGCAAATTAATTTTTACTCTAGGACCTTGCTTCTAATATTAAACAGTCTTTACAAACTACTAATCAGCATGCATTTATGGTAGAACATGGAAAACTGTAGGGAAAAGAATATGTCAGTTGCACCCACGGAATGCTCATTTATATCCTCATTTTATTCTCTAGACAAAAGAGAATAACTCATGAGGAAGTGTCCAATGTCCATTTTACAGTGTTTGCTGTATTTCATACACGGCTCTCCACAGAGCATCCTGGGAGTACTTAATACATCTTAATTGTAGAGATGATTGAATCATTAATCAATATTTGAAAAAGTAAAGATTTAGCAGTATTCTGCCAGTTGTTTAGAGATTCTACTAAATATTGTTAAGAACTTCAACCATAAGATTGTTAGGGACTGATCGCAGGACTCAGGTTCCCAAGACTATTAAAGCAGACGAAAAAATAACACTTCCTGCATACTCGTATCCTTTCTTCCCTCCCTATTTCTTTTCTGGGATGGAAAATTTCTAAATCCTCTATCCAGGAATTGATTATTTCATTTACCAGTTACAATACCACCATGAAGCAATTATTATTATTTACCACATTTTAAAGATGAGGATAATGCAAAAACAGTGCCAGATATTCACTTTCTTACTTCCTGAAATAGCTCATTTTTAAAAGCCCACAATTAGATATAGTGGAAACTTTTCCCAAGTGTCCAAGTATTAAGAGAAGGCTTTGAAGGTGGGTGAAGAGGAGAGCAGTGGCTCTGCAAGAAATCTTGCAGGCCAGATGTAAACAACTCTGCATTCTGACCAAAACATACTTTACAAAGCCAGAAATAAGGTGGTGAGAAGGAAAATCATTCATACCAGGAACCCACAATGGATCCAGATGGGCAACTTGCTCCATTTAACATGCCATCCTAGGAGTCAACACTGTTATGTCACATATCTAGAGCATTAAAGATTTAATCCCTATGCCAATAATAGACAGTAACTGGAGACTCAGACGGAGGCTCCTTTCTCATTACCAACTCCTACCTATCATAGCTGTTGGGCCCTCCCACTCTTCACATTACCTCTGGTGTCTCAGGGCCAGGAAGGGTAAGGAAGAAGAAAAAGTCCACATAGCAATTGTGAACTGGACTAGGAAGTAAACCCTGAATTTCCAAGAAATCACTGGAGTGAGTTGATTATATTTTAAGTCTTTAGGTTCAGGGTTTTTTGTTCTGTTGGTTGGTTTTGTTTTTTGCCATCAGTGAAAATATAGTCTCAGATCGAAAGCAAACAGACAATAACAAAACTCACAAACACATTTCATCATTTGTGTACTGCGAAATTCCATTTTTGTACATGAGACTATAAAATCTGCATCTGTTAAATATACATATTTCTTATATCTAGTTCCACTCCCTGGTGTTATTTTAGAAAAGTATACTTTGGAACACATGTTTATGGCCCAATAGTCTTATAAAGAAAGATGTATAAGAGAAATTTGGGAATCAATAATGTAATGGAATAACAACTTAATATACTCTATGAAATGTCTGAAGCAAATCTGATTAAAAGAACCACTTACAATTACCCACATTTTTATGTATTCTGTGCAAATTATAAAATCGCTAAATTTAAATTTTCTTCCTTAGAAATATAAATAATAAAATCTCTAGTGGCATTTAGAAGTAAAACTCTCTTTAACTACAATTATTAATAGTTGTGAATTGTCAATTTGAATTAAAAATTAATATAAAAACTACTTATACGTACAAAAGGTATTTCAGTAAAGTCTTGGCAATTGTTTTCAAGAATAGCTTATGAGCATTTTTTTTTTAAACTGGAGATTGTTGTTCATGTAACATAAAAACAGAGGAAAATAGCTGGGTTTTCCTGGATTCTTGCCAGGCTCTGATGCTTAGTTTTGAGTTACTCAAAGCAGCACTAAATTTTAATTCCAGTTGATATGTTATACAGTAGGAATAGAAGTAGAATTGAAATAATCGAAGACATAAAAATGTATGGAAGATCTTAAAATAGTGAAACCAGAGTCATACATACGTAAAAACAATGGAGCAGAAAAGATCCTTGCAATGAAACATGTACAATAAATTGTTTATGACCATTAAGCCTTCTTAGATGAAAACTTCTCTGTCAAGATACCGAAAATGGCTTCATGACCTGTAAGTATCTCCACCTGAATTCTAAATGAAAAGACTAGAGTGGCAAAGAAAAAACGTAGCAATAAGAGGAAAAAACTATGCTGATAATATAATTTTTAAAAAGGTCCCTCTGAGAAATTCCTTGATGCCCCATGACAGTTTAAGGCTAGTCTCTCACAGCCTCAAACTGTTCAGGGGCTGCAAAGGGCAGAGTTAAACCAGTATCTAGAACGATTATATAATGATGTGTAGTGGAAAAAATTAAAAGAGAGTGTATTGTGTATTGGCAATGTCAACGGTTATATTCACATGTAGTAAATTACCACTTATGTTCAAGGTGTAATGTTTGGATGAGGAGAAGGAATTGAGACGGGTGAAAGAGAAACAGCAGAATAGAACTTGCCTGTAGCGGTGGTCCAAGAATCAACGTCCTAAGCTTATCCTGGGATTTGTTAGAAGCGTAAAATCACAGGTACTACCCCAACTTACTAAATCATAGCATGCACTTTAACAACATCCCCAGGTGCTCACATGCACATTAATAGTGGAAAGAAACAGGGTTGACAGATGCCCACCTTCAACCTCATTTGCCACCCCACTTTGCTCTGAAGACCCTATGGTCCATTACGACAT